CAGACCCTTCATTTTAAGGTTTCAGTGTGCGTGCGCGGGCGCGCACGCACGCACATTCATTCGTCGATCTTGAAAAATTGGACCTGAAGATGCCGCTACATTTAACTTATGGATCAAAGCATTAAAACGTTAAATATACACAAAGAATTTATTTATTTACTTTTTGCAGAAATTAATCATTTATCATTATCGAATACTTTTATCGAAGCAAATAGTTCAAAAGCTTTTCTTGAATTTATGTCAATTGAATTAAGTTATTCGAAGAATTCTGATTTGATCGATAAAACTAAAGAGACACACTGTACACCAAATATTGTTTACATTATAATTATTCATTATGTATTAGATTTTTATTATTTCGAATTTATTTTGTTGGAAAGTAGATTTAATTTCATTAAAATGATGTTATTTTAAAAAATTAAATACTGTCATTTTACATTTGACATAAGTGCATAAAATACTAAATATATTTAGGATATATAAATTTACGTTTATATTCTTCGTTTGCACATTTCGATAATACAAATTAACAATTAATACATCCAATTCATCTTAATAACTGCAAGTAACAGTGATGCTGGGCTAACATTAAGATGCTTTACAAGTGTATAAGTTGCTGAAAAATTTGTTGTTGCTGTTTTAAATTAAATTCCTACTATTATTTCTTTTATAATATATAGTTAAAAATATTTTCTAATGTATTTTTTATAACTTTACGGTTAATTATTATTATTTAAATCGACTTTTATTTACCAGCAATTAAATTGAAATGAGCCATTATCTTTTCATAATAATAATAATTTGGAATATTTTACAAAGAACTTTTCAAATATTCATTTTATTATTTAATTTTTATAACAGTGTATGAAATGTACTTGATGAATCATTTTAATGATTACGTTGATCTTTCCCATACACAATCTATTCTTTCATTTTTAACATTTCATGATTTGGAAAAGTCTGCTTATACATATTTAAAAATTGCAATATATCAAAGGCATTAAATTCTATCTGATTAAATTCATAATATGATTAATATTTAATTTCAATGCCAATGAATATTGAATGTGAAACTAATTTACGTATGAAAATGTTTATTCTAATTTTTGTTCGAGCGTTTGGCAATATGTAAATCATGTTGTGAATAAAGTATTATTTATTAATTCTTTCACATTAATTCGTCGATTCAAGAGGCCTAGTCTCTGATTGAATTGATGAACGTATTCTTTTGTATGACATGTAATACAACGATGGCAAAGTACTTTAATATTATTCGCCAATTCTATGAGAAATAGTAACGTTTTATTACCATATTGTTACGTCGTATTGGTTATGGTAGAGTTGATTTTATTTTGAATACGCAATTATATTCGTGTTAATTATGTCAAATATTTCACTTGGAATACATTTTAAGGTACAAGATTGGAGAACATTGACGATAAAATCATAGTTTTCAAACGTTAATTTCGTGCGTTAATTCGTAGATGCATTTCGGAATGAAATATATTATGTGTGATGCGTGACAAAATTTATTTCGATTCCTCACTACGTACTCGCCATCCATTAAAATACTTTGTGTACGGAGAGCCAATAAAAAGGAGCGTATAAAGTAAATTTCAAGAATAACAATGGATAAATAACAGGTGAGTAATGAAAATTCATAATATTGCAAATTTACAAACTACACCGTACATTAAACTATTAGTTTTTTTTTTTTAAATAAAATTTTTTTCTTCTTCTTTTTTTTTTTTTTTTTTTTTATAATCTATTCACATTAAGGCATTTATAGTATTAAGCTCGAGTCTACGTATCCCACGATTGCTCCAGTAGCACAAAACGCTGCTATATTATTACGAAAATCGACTAATAACAGCCAAAGCCACAACGAGTCTTCAATAACTATCGAACGCATTGGCAATTTTTCAATTCTCAATACATCCTCCTTACGTCTCGCGATAAGAGTCTACAAAATATATATTGCGAATGCACAGACCGAAGCTCGTGCCGTTTACCACCATTAAGCAAGTAACCGAAATATCGAGGGCCCCGGGGACGAACGATTAACGGCGGCGGCTTGTCCAAAAGGTAAAACGACCGCGTGATAATATGTGAGAAAGTGGAAGTGGGCCGATAGCGCGAGTCACGCGACAACTGCACATTTAACCTTTCACTTCATTGACGTCGACGTGGCGCTGCGTGTCTTTATTTTCCCATCGAAGCGCGCTTTTTTTTTTTTTTTTGTTTTTTCTTTTCTTTTTTTCTGTTTTTTCTTTTGCAGGCTCGCGAGGCCGTTATTACTGCTCGACACGGAGATCGAGATTGGGATCGAGATTGCGCGCAAGTGGCCTTCGCCGTCTGTGCTTTTCACCTCTTATTCATCTGATGCTGATTGATTTTCCAGACGTTGATAAGCTTAGCGCTCTGTCGATCGAGCTTAATGTTACCCAAGCGGATACGTTTAATCGCACATAATTTATCACAAGGTGAGCCGCTCCCCTGCTTTGTCCTATTTATGTGGGGGTGCTCTTACTATCGACGGATTTTTCTATTCTATCCTACGTTCTATTGTGTATTATCTTAGGCTGGGCGATTAAAAATTTCCTAAAAAAAACTATCCTTATGATTGCCGAGATTTTTCGTGTAATATTCGAGATTGGCGGTGCGGCGTTAAGTCGTTTTCAAGCAAATTGAACGCTCCTTGTTAAACGGCTGTGCGTCTCTGCATAATTTATGATATATGATATAAATATTATTTGGACGGTAAATGCTTGAAAGGTCGTGCAGTAAGCGTAGAGCAGTATTGAAGTCATTGAAGATTAACCAAGAGTATAAATAATTAAAGTCATGCTGCTTTATATAAAAGGCGAATATCGTTTGAAATGCAAATATAACGGAGCGATCATTAAATCTAACGAACTCCATTAGATTATATTTCTCGATTTAAAGATTTTCTTATTCGAGAATTATCATTTACTACGGACTATAATGATTTTATCGTCGATTTTAACGTTTCCTTATCGCAAACTCCTCACTTCGGCAACAAATTTCTTATTTAAGACTATGATTTATTAGATGATTTGTTGATATCAGTTAGGGAACTATGTGCCAATCATTTGGAGATTACGAATATATTGGTTCGAAATATGCAAAATACAATCATTGCGAAAGTCGATTAATACGAAAGTCAAATATATAAGTGATAGATGATTTTGATATGACAATAACGAATCGCCGAGCATCGACGAAATACAAATAATAGAAAGAAAAGAAAATAGTATAATAGACTTTTATATTATTTCCAAATTATCAACATTTTTCATTTATAATAGCATGTTAAGTAAAATTTTATAATTAACAATACAATGATACTAACCAAATTCTCTCTGAAAATCTAAACCAATGTATTGTGTTGGAAAAATTTTAACTATTCATTTGTACAATCGATGATTGAAAAATTAATTTCATAAAGCATGATCAATTTGCGGGTAAAATTGAGATATTAAGAAATGTGAAAAATTAGTAATACATTGATATAATATTATAAGCATTATTAACTAGCTTACGATTAAACAAAAAATTCTAGGGAAATTTAAAAGTATTATTTAGGACATTAATATTATTATTATACTGATGAAATAACAATACGTATCTCAATCATAATAAAGATAATGTAAAATGCACGCCATCCCAATAACATAACGTAACCTTTAAATTTTATCACGTATACAATGCATTTAGATTACACAGCATTAAATATATGTCGAGCGACAAATGATATAAGTATAATAATAATAATAATAATAATAATAATAATAATAATAATAATAATAATAATAATAATAACAACAATGATAATAATAGTAGTAGTAGTAGTAGTAGTAGTAGTAGTAATAATAATAATAATAATAATAATAATAACAATGATAACAACAACAATGATAATAATAACAATGATATAATTCTGTATAATGTTTTCCGAATTTCTATGACTAGATGATTGTGACTAATGTGCGACACGACCCATTGGGCAAATTTATTTTCTCATTGCCTCTTCAATAAAAGAGATAAAAACATAGGACGTACAATGTATTTTTCCATATTATTTATATCCTATTTATATCCTAATGCGACATATATAAAGTTTACGATTATAGCACCAAGATACCCGATTCGAATAATAAATTGAAAGTGCAGACTTTCAATTTTAAGATTCAGTTTATATCTTCAGTTGGCTATGATTCCGTTCACTTTCGTTTTCCTTATAAACAAATCATTTTAATTACCAATAGATAAACTTTCACAATTTAATTTTTAAATTACATAAGAATCTTGAAAACTGACACGTGAACGTTATGCAAAAAACTTTTAAGAATTTATTCCACCATCGTTTATCGCAATAAGTCAATATTCGCATAGCGTACTTTATAATGCGAAAGATTATCGATTATTTAATTGATCGAACGTACAAAGGAATTTTTTTTTTTATATTTTCCTTTTCATATATTTTCCCTAATTATAATCATATCCTTAAAATTTCTCTCGTCCATACGTTTCGTCGCCTGTCATCTCAACAATGCCTCGGTCCGGCCGTTTTCAACTAAAATTTCCAGACATTATTTATCGATACACACTCGAACGTTCCAATAACCTCAACGACTAAGTCTTTATGCAATTTATTGGCAAAATCGAATATTTTCCTAATATTTAAGTTAAGCTCGTTAATTTGAATAACGTTGGGCCCCATCGGGCTATGAGGAAAGTCCTACATTTTAAGGATAATGTCCTTCCTCTTACGATTCCCGGCCTATCCTAATCCCAATTCCCCAATCCGGTTAATGTCAGGTCCGGGGCATCGCGTCGCGCCAATCGCGGACTCTTCATATCGGTAGCGCGCGGCTTTCAAGAGATCCTCGGGCGCTCTTGCTCAAGGACCCTCGCTTGAATATCGTCGGATTGTAGGATGAGCGCCGGTCAAGTGATGGGTGCATGTTATTTCTTACCGCGACGAGTGCGCCGAAAGCTTCAATTCGCATAGTAGCTGGCCAGGCCAGCGGGAAGGCCGTCGCTTGGAAGCGCGTGGACCGATCTGGAATACCGATCCGGGCGTTGGCCACGATCGCTGGTGGCGGGTCCGCTAAGCTCGCCGTCGTCCCGGCGGCCTCTATATTCCGACCGTCCCCTTGTCGTCCGGCTGTCGCGTTCTGGCCTCTTCTCAGGGCAGTGCCCGAGGCTCAATTGGCCGGGGCTCGATGAGCCTGCGTCTCGCCTCGTTGATGGTGCGAGGGTGTCGATCCAGCGGGTCGGACGTTGAACACGAGGAGCCTGCCACCCCAGACTCCGTACATGGCTACCGCCTTGATCTGCAACAATTCACAATGGGGGGTTGGCCTTTATTTCGCTCACCGACTTTCTCTGCCCGGCCGCGAGCCTAGTCAAGGTTCGTCGTAATCTTGCCGCATTGCGGAGCTTAGAGCTGACGTGCGAGCTTTGCCTTACAACGGCCGTTATCGTCGTGTCAATTCGAGCCTTTGCGTAGCCGCTCGGTAAAAGCTTCCTTGACTCTGTCTCGGTGAACGCTATGCTATCCGAGACTAGTGGCATGTCTGACCTGGTCCTAGTTTGTCTACTGGAATACGTTTCTACAAATCAATTACATATTCTCTTTAACTTTCACTTTCTCGACCCTTCTCTATTCATCTCCCTCCCCTCCTATTGTACCACCCATGCACGCAAGCACACGCGCGCACACGTACGCACAAGCTCTCCCTCTCACTCTCTCTCGCTCTCTCTCTCTCTCTCTCTC